ATTTGAATTTGCTTACCTGTGTAGGGAGCTTGCAAGTATTGATACATACTCCTACACATTTGCTTTGCTCCAAGTACTTGCATTTCTCAACGAAGACCTACACAAACAAACTAGCTTAATATCACGAGAAATCGTTCGCTAAAGGTAAACAAACCAGCCTAAAATAACGAAAAAAAAAAGATCACTAAAGCTATCTCATTACCCCGCTAGACCATGTGGATCCATTAGGCAGATCAACTGAGTTAACTGTACATGTTCCCATGAGCCACTGGCATGAAATTGCAGTTACCCTTGCTTCCAAAACCGAAAAAAAAAGGGAATGAAACAAAAGGCGATGATCAAAAGCACCAAATCAATTAGATAACTTCATAAATCTCTTATTCGATCAAAAGCACTACTATGTAATGTATGTCTGTTTACTGCTATGCTACATGGACTCGGATATGGGTGGCGTATCGGGTGTGGAGATATGAGTGTCCCACTCGTCAATTGTTTAAAAATATTGAACATTTTAGGCTAAAATGCCACACCCGACACTCATACCCACACCAGTGTCGACACGACATGACACGGGTATTCTTCCTGAATAGAAGAGTCCGGGTAACATAGGTTTTCTGTGAAATAAGAGACATAGTTCAAGTAAAACCCAGACAAGAAAAATGGTAAAATTACTCACCAACCATCTCAGACGCCACTTTGCCTCCAGCAATAGGCGAAACTAGTTTCTTGTACAGTTTCAACAGCAATGGAGGAAAAAGTGCCCTTAATATCCGTATCTAGCACACGATCAATAATATCAACATAAATCATAGATTTTACGATCCCGTTACGGAACCACATGTAAGACACACGGCGAAAACTAAATATACCGCAACTTGTGTAGCTTCGGAATTGGATCGGCCGACCATTAACCGATGAGCCATATCGATTAATCCATCGTATCCGGGCTTTTCCGAGTCCCATCCAGACTCCTGAAAATCCATAACCTAATCATTAGTTTTAATTTTAACCTAATAAAAGCACACAAAAAAATATGCATATACAATAAAAATATAAAAATCAGGGGAAGAATTAAATTAATTAACCTGCGCCATTTTGCTGCGAAATACGTTGAGGAAAATATCATCGATAGGCCCAGGCGAATATTCCTTCTTTGAAGATTTCAGCTCTACTGCTTTTACCTGCTTAATTGATTTTTTATTTATTCAATTTTTTGTTTATATATAATTTAGGGAAATATTAAAGTGAAGAAAATGTTGCTTACTGAGCTTTGTCGAGCAGAAAAGCATGAAAATCGAGCTGAATGCTTGATTTTTGGACGATGAAGAGATGGAGTTGAGATGAGCAGGCGATTACTGGTAATCGCCATGGGCGTACAACTTCAAGCTCCCAATTTTTTCAACTCTTTCTTCTTATGTAGATCACGTGAAGAACGGATGGGACACGTGGAGTATAATAATAAATGAATATATAATATATTCCCTCATGTTTTGTATTGAGAAGTTGCACAGTTATTAAGAATATTTTTGTTGGTAATAATAACTCTCATTAATTAATGAGAATAAAAATGAATATTTTGAGAAAAGATGAAGATGAAAAGTGAATATGAAAAGATGTAGTGTATATATTAATTAGATGAGGGTAATAATAGAAAAATATGTACAAAATATCCAAAACGATATTTATTTTGTTAATAGTTGATAATGCTAAAATGACATTTAAAAAGAATAGGAGGTAGTAATAAATTCAACAAAACATTAGTTTGGGTTGTATTTGTACCATAAATAAATTAGTCACACTTATGGTTGAGTTGAGCTGTGTCGAACATTGGCCTTATCGAATATGACTATTTTTTTTTTAGTTGCTCGAGCTCGACTTGATAAAAAATTACAATAGCTCAAGCTCGACTCGAAATTTTTTTACATGGAAAGGTAAAATTACCGTTAACGACCTATGCTAATATATATAAGGAGTATTTTAGTAATTTAACATGTATTTTGAGCCGCTCGACTGTGCAAAATATAGGCTCGAGCTAGACTCGAGTTCGTGCTCGAGCCGCTCGAACTCGACTCGAGTTCGGTCAAACTCGAGCTCGAGTCGAGATTTGACTCGAGCGCTCGGTACGCTTGCAATCCTAGGCACACATGCTTAGCTAAATAGTAAATAAAGCAAACACAATATAGTGCTTGTATTAAATATTAATGTTAATTAACTTTACAGTCGGTCAACTTTGGATTCATGTTAAAATTAATTTATCTATTTGATTTTGACAGTTAATTCTTCATATTAAAATTAATTTATCTATTTGATTTTGACAGTTAATTCAATTAACAGGAATTCTTGTGTAAGGGGGCCAATGATAAAGTTATCTTGAAAAGTTAATTGATAGTTCAATTATTAATTAATAGTTTATAAGTAAATTTGAAGTTTATAGTGTGTTTGATAAGTACTATAAGCTAATTTGCAACTTATAAACCTTTTTTTGTATTCAGCTTTTTATACAGTTAGAGTTCATTTCATAAGTTTCTCTAGAGAAACAATTTGAAAAAATAAAAACATATCTTTTTAGTTGATTTATCGGTTAATTTTATCAAACATTATTTCATAAGTTTCTCTAAATAGTTTGAAAAAACAAAAACATATTTCTTTAGTTGATTTATCGACTAATTTTATCAAACACTTTGACTGTATCAGTCAATTTTTCAACCATCAACGTTATGCTATCAACTATAAGCCCACAAATTTAATTGTAAACTATCAACATCATATATCTTTTTAGCTAGATATGTCAGTTATGCTATCAACTATAAACCCACAAATTTAATTGTAAACTATCAACATCATATATTTGTTTAGCTATATTTGTCAAATATGCTTGTAGTTGATAGCTTATGGCTTAAAAACTATATGTTATAACAAAACTATTTAAAAAAAATAACGTGATAAGATAACTTGAATAAAAGTTGTAATAAATATATTTTAAAAGCTACTAAACAAGCTTATGAATTATGATGCAACAACCTCTTTCATTTAAGAAAGGCTCTCAAATCAATTGTTTGATTAAAAAAGGATTTATGTACTTACAAGACATACTAGTCTACTTTTCTATAATAATATTTACATTTTTCAATCCATTAAGCGGTAAATAATTAAATATAAATTATAGAGAAATATTATAGTTCTGTTACAGTACCATTCTGTCGAGTGTTTTAACCGTTGGATCATCTATCTTATCTAACTACTTGTGGATCCAATGGTTAAAACACCGACGGAATGGTACCGTAACAGGACCGTAGCATTTCCCTAAATTATATATTACTAACCCAATTGTGTCCTAAAATTTATATAAATAAAGTCGCTAGTAAGACGATAGCGGGATCAGTAACTTTAGGGAAAAGCAAACTCATTCCAATTTTTTTTTAATAGCAGGCCAAAACCCTAACCGATAAACCCTGTTATTTGCGAAATAACAACAGCGAAGACTGAGTAACCGATGACGATGAACCCCAGCCGTCGATTCCTCGCTGGAGCTTCGGCGTCCGCTCGAGCCCTATCCACGGCGACGAAAGCAACGACCGAGGCTGGGCTGCCCGAGGACCGTTTGTACCGGAGATTATCTGCACTGGGGAACAAGAAAGGTACTGTCGCGAGCACTATAAATGAGTACATTAGAGAGGGACGACCTGTCGGAAAGTTTCAGCTCGACGCCTGCCTTAGGGAACTCCGAAAATACAAAAGATACGGCCACGCTCTCGAGGTGTAATTTTGATCCATTTATCTGTGTATTTGTGTGCTTGGTGATTAAATTTTTAGGTTGAAATCGCGTGTAGCTTTGATCTATTTATCTGTGTGTTTTTGCGCCTGGTGATTAAATCTTTAGGTTGAAATCGGGTGTATTTCTGATCCATGTATCTGTGTGTTTGTGTGCTGGTGATATTTTCTTTAATATTCCGATTAAATTTTAGGGTACTAAAGGTTGTTCTAAAAATTGCAATGGCTTATCGATTTGCAAAACATAAAGCGCAACAATGACATTTTGTCAAACACGCAAACACCGAAAAATGGAATTTTCAAGTTGGGGTTATACAAATTTCCTTCATTTTCTTACCAATTTACTTGTCAGTGGCTAAACTTTGGTGTTGATGATTTATATCATTTATCTTCTGGTTCAAACATTATTTTCCGTTACCAAAGAGTGTGCCAGCCTGATGCTAAGTTATATATTCATAGTTTTTATTTGCTAGATCAAGACTTGAATCCTTAGTTGTTACTTGTTAGATTTCATTACTTAGTAGTAAACTAAGAGTCGTGCATCTCTTGGACAACGCGAACATAAGCCAAATGACCTTTTTTTTTTCGTGTGTGTGTGTAAAAATCCTTCTCTTGGTATCAGTGATTTGGATTTAGTTGTGAAAGACAAGGATGACAGTTTTTCAAACACACTAACACCAAAAATGGGATTTTTTTTTTCCCAATTTTTCCTCAGTTTCTTACCAGTTTACTTTTAGGAGGCTAAACTTTGGTGTTTACATATGCGCAATTGTCTGTTCATCTATCAATCTGGTTTTGGACTGATTCAATTGTCTGATCATCTATCAATCTGGTTTTGGACTGATTCATCATATTACCAAAAAAACTGAACATAGACTATATTTTAGCCTGAATGAATGATCTTTGATGGTTTACCTTTTTCCCTTTCTCTTTGGATTTTACTATCTTAAACTAAATCATCCAGATAATGGAATGGATGGAAAGTCGAAAATACTCATTGGGGAACAAAGACCACGCTGTACGATTGGATCTAATCGCGAAAGCCAAAGGCATAACCGCAGCCGAGATTTTTTTCAATGGTCTCCCGCCATCTGCTCAGGTCCACTGTACTTACGGCGCTCTCCTGAACTGCTACTGTGAACAAAAAATGACCGAAAAAGCGCTCGAAGTGTTTTCAACAATGCAAAGTGGAAAAATGATAATCCGACCTCTGCCCTACAACAATCTCATGGCTATGTACATAAGATTAGGGCAGCCCGAGAAGGCAGTTTCTCTTGGTGAAGAATTGAAAAATAATAATATTCAGCCCGACACGTTCACTTACAACCTATTCATGAACGCGTACGCTTCCATGGACGATTTCGAGAGTGTCGAGCGAGTTTTTGACGAGATGATGCAGAAGAATGAAAAGCAGTGTAATTGGACAAGTTACAGTAACTTGGCTATCCTGTACACTAAAGGCGGGTACCGGGAGAAAGCTGAGCTGGCGCTGAGAAATCTCGAGAAGGTAATGGGGCCGAACGATCGGGAGGCGTATCATTTCTTGATAAGCTTGTATGCGGGAATTCACGATCTTCACAATGTTCATCGTGTTTGGAAGGATTTGAAGTCGAAGATGAATATGGTGACTAACAAGAGCTATCTCATGATGCTTCATGCTCTTAGGAATCTGAAAGATGTGAGTGGCGTGAAAAAATGTTATGAGGAGTGGGAGTCTAATTGCCCGACTTTTGATGTTAGGCTGTCGAATACGGCAATTGGGGCTTTATTGGATCACGATATGATTGAAGAGGCTGAGACTGTGCTCGGGAATGCGATTGGTAAAACTGAAGGTCCGTTTTTTAGAACTTGGGAGATGTTTATTGTTTATTTTCTGAATAAAAATCAGGTGAAGAAGAGTTTGGAGATCATGAAGACTGTCATATTGAAAGTTCGGGAGAAAGAATGGTGTCCTAAGCAAGAAACGGTGGAGAAATTTGTCGAGCTTCTCGAGCAGGAGAATGATGTGAGTGGCATTGAAGATTTATACGAGTGCATGAAGAAAATAAACTGCGTTGATCACAAATTGTACGTGTCGTTGCTCAAGATTTGTGTTGCGGCTGGGAAAAAATTGCCCGGTATTCATCAGAGGATTGAAGGGGATGGGGTTCAAATTAGCAGTGAGCTCAAACACTTGCTTGAAAGTGTTTGAGTTCGTGCAAGAAGGATGATTTCCTTTAGATTTTTCATTTGTAGTGTCAAATACTGGGAAGGGTAAAGACCGATTCTTGGATTTTGGAGTTATCTTTTCAGTATTAATCTTGTTGGTAGGGTCTTTTGGTTTTAATTTATTTTGCAGGTAAAATTGCAAAATTGTTGCAAGTTGCTACTATCCTTAAAGATAGAGTTTGTATTTTATGTTTTTAACTGATGACAATGTTTCTAGGGGGTTGTGTGAAAAAAGGAAGGAAGGATAGAGAAGACTATTTCAAGCCCCCAGTTTTTGCTAGAAACATTAAACATCCTAAAATCAAAAAGGAAAAAGTCAATAAAATGAACCAGATTGACAAAAATTTAGTACAATACTTGTTTCGAGTCAATAATGTGTACAGATAACAGAAAAAAAAAAGGTAAAAATACAAAATGAATTAAAAATAAAGCTGCTACAGTTTAGAGAAATAAGCTTCGGCAGAGGCGTAGACATTAATAACTCGGTCATAATGGAGAGACAATGGTTACATTCTATTAAGTGAGATGCTAAAAGGGAGCAAATAGAACTGATCAGAGCTTCTGTTTTAAGATCACTTCTTCTATTCCTATAGGAGCTTTAGGCCGGTAATGTTCGTCCGTGTCAGCCTCTTCAATTTCCTGAGATCCACACCACAATATTTGTTGAACTGGAAAATCTTGAGCGAGTTTGCAAAATATAAATTTGAAACATTGGGAAAATAAAAATAAAAGAACAACACAGAGGTATTCAAGACTCGATTAAAGTCGGTTGAGTTTGCAACTTTGAAACACTGCCAGTATGATAAAAAAAGATCGAATCCAATATACCTGAACAACATCTTCACCCTTAATAACACGTCCAAATACGTTAATTTTTTCATTTAGATCCGGGATTGGTGCTGTGGTGATAAAAATATCGAATCCTCCACCATCATGTTTCGTCTTGGAGGTACCCAGCATAAAGGCTTCATGTTTCAGGCTAATACATATAAAATAAAGAAAAAAAAATTATATAATAACTTGATATGGTTAGTAGATGAATTTGACTAAAAAGAAGATATAAATTAGTAGAGAGGCAAAACAAATAAAGCAGACCTTGTATCGAGTTGGTTATAATGCTTTCCCCTTGAGGTCCAATCTTCTGTACTTTCGGGTTTATTAACATCACCTCCTTGGATGACAAAGTTCTTTATTACACGGTTAAAAAGCATTCCTTTGAATCGCCCCTTCTGACTGAAAATTATTTTTTTTTAAGAAAAGGAATGCAATTGACGTATGAGAATGTCTTTCTTGTCATTCTGAGAGATAATAGAGCAACTTATTTGTACAAAATATACAGAGCGGTGCACACCATGACTCAACAAAATCATTAACAACTTCTGGAGAACCTTCCTTGTAAAGTTCCACGGTTATTGAGCCTTTTGATGTTTTTATCACCTGTTCAACATAGATATGAGTTCAACACATTCTTGAAAATAAAGCAACACCAACAGGACTGGCTAATGTAGGATGATACCAACCACACTAGGACCATCAACAAAATTACAAAAGAAAAAGATTATGAGCAACAGACTAACATTAACAGTAATAGTTGGTTAAATTTCATTAAATCATATTGCATCAGAGCAGCAAGCCGGCAAATTAATAGCTAGACTAAAGAATATAAGGAGAAAAACCATGATAAAGGCTGAGTTTTTTTTCTACACATGCAATTGTTGTTCTATTTGCCAAGTACAGTCTGTGTTCGGTAGATTTATTTATACAAAACTGAATCTAGTAGACAGCCGATGATCCATCAATTAATTCTAACATCGAGAGAACTTACAGCATACTTGGGAATATCAACTTTCTTCGAGTCAACACGTAAACTATCATGCTGCAAAAATGTAAGAGAAAAAATCATGTCAAAAATAAATGGAAAAATAATGTCATAGCTGGTGCCTAAAATCCAGGATGAATATTGCTATAAGCTTATAAACAGAGGGTATTAAAAAAAAACTAACTTAATATAATTGGTAACACAACAAAGAACTTCCATTTCGTAGACAATTGATAATACAAGTACGTGTCTGTAAGAAAATGACTACAATTTTTACGTAGTACCTCTACACTTGATATCATATCACCGGTCTGAAAATTTGACCTGAACAAGATACAAAAATGAAGGTCATGAACACCCTAATTACCATTACACAACTTATTTTAGCATAAAGAATATAAAATATGCATATAACAATCAAAATGAATCATCTAACTACCTGTCCGATCGCAGCTCCGACAAATATTTCAACAGAAAGAACAAAAAAGGTAGAAAATTTAAGACACCCAATCCACGAAAACAAATTGTTTTAACTCTCAATCGAATTCCCCTAAAATCACCATAGATGAACATAGTTCGCAATAGTTACTTTTTCTCCTTATATTCAATCGTGAAGGACAGAAATAGAATAGCTCACCAAGAATAGAACTTGTCATGTAAAATAACCATAACCAGTGCCAGCCATAACATGAAAATCATATTATAGGTAAAAAGGAACACACCTTCTATTCCAGTGTCTGTATGAAGCAAAAAGGAAAATCACCATGACAACAACAATCAGACCGTAGATCCCAATCGTAACATAACTGATTCGACTCGGTCCCTTCTTTTTTTTACTCTGTTGTAAGAGAGCCTGAGGTTTGATCCTCGCCATGATGTTCTGCTACAAACTTCAAATCTTCAGTCCTGCAAAGCAAAATCACGCACAAGAACCTCAAATCCAACACATCCACACTAAAAACCCATCAGATTCAAAACTCTGAAAATGCTCAAACAGATTCTGAATCTCGATATAAGAATCGCATAACTAAACGATGCATCGGGATATTACAAAGCTAAAATCAGTCGGGCAGGAAACAGTTATCTGAAAAAAAAAACAAGGATTAAGAACATAAAAGCCAAAATCGAACAAATACCTGATCGTGAATTGCTGATCTATGCTAGGGCAAGCATCGATAAATTGTTTCCTGAAGAAAAAATAATGGTTGGATGTTGAATAGTGGCTCAAATTTTGCTTTTTACTGCGTAGAAATTGAAGTTGAGAGAATAATATATTGGGATTTGGGGAAACAAAATTCGAATCCCTGAAGTAATGATACCTTCGACGACGTCGTATAGAGTCCACTTTTTTCTTCTCTCGTCTCCTTTTTCTTTAGAATTGATTGATGAATCGTTTTTTTTTT